ACTTAGAAAATTTCTAAGTCTTGGAAATCTTGACTTTTCAAGTTGACTTTTGACTTTCTCAACTTCTTGATGATCAAGCTTGATATTTTTGAATGTCTTGATGAAATTTGATCTTTGGAATGTAATGTTGACCAAAAAGTCAAAGTTTGACTTTCTAGTATGTAATTGACGCCCTTGTGCCAATTTCAAACCTAAATTGATGTATCAGTGCTGCAAACATGACGTCGTAGAAGATCTTGTGAGAAAATCCTTGAGAAATGAGAGGGAAAATTTTGGGGTACAACAACGTGAAATATATCTTTTTGGGTGAGAAATTATTATAGTTGACCATAATCATAAGTTATTTACCACAACTCGAAGAAGAAATACTATTGAGAGTTTTGAGTAAGAACAATACAACATTAAGATGAAGCATAGAAGATTTAAAAGGTATTAGCCCAACCTATTGCATGCACAAAATTAAGTTGGAAGAAGAGTTCAAGTCGGTGGTGCAACCATAAAGGAGACTTAATCCCAATATGAAATAGGTGGTAAGGAAAGAGTTGTGCATGTATTTCGCAAGAAAATAGACATGATCGTCATTCGTAACAAAAAGAATTAGTTGATTCTAACTCAAATTGCTACTAGATGGAAGATGGGCATTGATTATAGGAGATTGAATCTAGCAACAGCAAAATATCATTTTCCACTACCCTTCATAGAACAGATGTTAGAGAAGCTATAAAGAAGAGCCTATTATTATTTCTTGGATGTTTATTCGGCATACAATCAAATTTTTGTAGATCCAGTGGACCAAGAAAATACTAAAGGTGCAAGAAACACAAGAATGGGGGTTTGAATTTGGTTTCACAAAATCAAATTTCTCGAAACTCAAACCCCAACTTTTAACATAAGAATAAAAGTAAAGAAACACAAATTTTTTATCCTAGTTCAGTGTTAACGAAGTTAATTCATTCCACCCGCCAAGGTGATTTCTCATTCTTAATAAAGACTTAATCTACTATAAACAAACTAATTATAGAACCACAATAAGACTAATTGTCACTGTTGCAAACCATAAAAACCAACCGTCAATGTCTTCTTGAGAATCCTGACTAAATGCTTAGCCTCTCAAGGAACAACCTCAAACACAAACAGTCAATTATTTCTTGAGTATACAGACTAACACTTAGTCACTCAAGGAACAATCAACTCACACTACAACAAATAACGCTTTTCATGATAAAGCTTTCACCTCCGCCAAAGAAAAATCAAGGTAAAATGTCAAGACACACCATCTTTTATTATTTATAAGAATAAAAATCCACAATTTTCCTCGGGTTTTAAAATAACCGAGGGGAAAAAAAATCGAGACACGCTTCAAATCCCAGCTATTGCAGTTTATGTTTTTATTTATTTATAAGTGTAAATTAAATGATCTAACCCTTCGATTTTTTATATAATCGAGGGATAAAATCAAATTTTACTATAAAATCACTCGTTAAATTTTACCCTAATCCTTACTTATATGAAGCCATCCCAAACTCCCATGTATCATTCTTTGGGATGGATTGCAAAACAGAAAAATCTTCAATGTCCTTCTATCTCACATAATGGTGTTCATGTTATTATTGTGTTTTTCGAATAAACTTCCTATGATGGATTACAGGTGCATAAAAAATATTTTCTAATGTTTGGAACAAATAAATTATTAGAAGATGGATGCATTCAAACCATTGCGCTTAAAAAGCATGCACACAAGAGTATGCAACTAAATCTGAATTATAACAAGGATTTGTTGTTCTCCAAGAACAATGGCAACTATGATGGCATTACATCTGTTGTAATAATGTATTTTAATATTCTTGCTTCAACTTACACAAATAAGGGAGCTCAACCTTTGGATAATGGATGCCAGCGAAGATATTCATTCAAAAGAGAAAAGATTTGTTGTAAACCATTAATTTTAATATTTTGTGTAAACAATATAATTGTAAAATATATATATATATATATATATATATATATATATATATATATATATATATATATATATATATATATATATATATATATATATATATATATATATATATATATATATATATATATATATATATATATATATATATATTATATATATATATATATATATATATATATATATATATATATAATATATATATATATATATATATATATATATATATATATATATATAAACAAATGTCACCTTGGTTTTAAAATAACCGAGATGAAATCTAGCATTTGTAAAACAAATTTTACCTTAATTCTAATTAATATGTCGCGACAGATAGAGGAAATATTTACCACTGTCCATTGTCATAAATTTCTTGATCTAGAAACGCTTAAGAACAAATCTCTGAAGACCATGAAATCCCTAAGGACTACGAAGATTATGAGATCTTTGAGTATTCCACCCAAGATTTGTTGTAAATAATTTATTCCCAATAACTCCTTATAGCAAAGATTTATCTATCTCCAAGAATCTGGATTTGTTGTAATATTATGATTTAAAGTTCTTTGTAAGTTATGTAAATTAAAAATTAATATTATAAAACTCTTTCACCTCAGGTTTCCTAAAAACTGAGGGGATATTTTAGCGTTAATTTTTAGAATATTTGTCATCGTCCTTAATCAAATCCTTGTCGTCTATTTTGATCACTATCAACGCTCAAGACACTTCGATTAGTGATCCGCGTGAAACCTAAATAACTTCCATTATAAAAGCAGTCTGAATATAAAAAATTCTTAATACAACATCATGAAGCGCTTGAAACTATCCTCCACTTTAAGATTTGTAAGAGTCCTGGTCATGAAGAGTTCTCTAAGATGGATTGCAAGAGCAGAAAATCATTTGGGTTTAAGGTATGTTTTCTTAAATGTTTATTTGAACATAAAGTTATTTAATTATCTAACTTTTTTTTTATTATATCAGAAACAAGTTCAAGGAAAATCATTTGAAAACATATTGTTTCCAGAAATTGATCTTCCCATGGATATCAAAGATTTGAAGATCCAAATATGATCTTCATGGACAACTTTATTTTTATTTTGATATTCTATATAAACAATGTAACCGGTTTAAATTAAAAAATACTAATCGTTTACCCCTCGATTTTATTGATTATCTGAGATACTTCAGGCGCTACAATTGTAAATGATCAAAGTGCAGACGGTGTGAGTCAAATCCATGTGCTATTAAAATACCCCTCGATATTTTAAATACCAAGGTGATAAGTCTTTACTCTTCATGACGACCTTATTTACCTCGCTTCAGATGCCGAGGTAAAACACATTTCACGTCCGACGTGACACAGGCTTTTTGTAGTAGTGTCATTGTTGAATACAAATCTGTTTGTTTACAAGATTTCTTATCAAAAGCATATTACATAAGATTGAAGTACAGATAATAACACAAAAATGTTAAGCAAGTTAACAAACAAAAGTTTCTTGCTAGAAAGTTAATGAGCAACAACTCCTTCCATTACAAAAATTACAAAGTTATTTTGGCAGTGTTTCAACAACTTGAATAAGTGAGTTTCTTCAAAGTTCTTCCAATATTACAGTTCTTCCAACTCTTCTTTTTATATATAAAAAGAAATATGTTAGAGGGTAGAATAAGAATATAAAAATTCCAATTGTCTTCTTGCAACTGTCAGTGAGAGTGGTAGATAACCGCGTACAATAGTATTGCCCTTGTGCCATAAAAATAGTGTAATGGAGGCGAGGTGATGTTGTACCTTGTACTATTACTCACATGAACCCTTTTGATCTTCTCTTCAAATCTTTAGAGGCTTCTAGAGGTTTAATGGTTGAAGCATGCATAGAAGGATCCAAGTTAAGTCTCCAAAACCATGTCGTCAGAGTCTTCAGAACTTGTTCAATCTCAACCTTGTCTTCGGAGTCTTCAACACTCGGTATTTAGAATATTTATAACCTTTTCTTCAGAGTCTTCAGAACTTAGTTCAACATAACCTTGTCTTAAGAGTCTTCAGAAATTGGTCTAGAGAATTGTTGGTCTTCAGAACTCGTTCAAAAGAACCTTGTCTTTAGAATCTTCAGAACTTGGGCAAGAGAACTTGGAATCCTCAAATCTTTAGAACATATCAGAAGCTCTAAGACAGAGTCACAGTTAGAAGAAATAAAACTAACATTAATCAAAACCTTTTTTTTAAGAAGCATTTTAAGCTATGAAACACAAACTTGTATCCTTTAGTGTGTTGAGTCCAGAATCTGAGGACGTCACACGTTAATTCTTCAGAGTCAGAACCTATTAGAAAAAGCTACACACTAAACAAATTATTAGGGTACTAAATTGTTATCTAATCACCCATGTAATCTTATCATCAAAACTCAAGGCCTGATGCAGAACCAAATCGTGTTCTTACAATCTCCTCCTTTTTTATGATGACAAAACAATGTATTTTGATAAACAATTTATACTGGTTTTATCACATAAAAGAAATTCAGAGTTAGATAAATAGCCCCCCCCTGAGTTCTATGATCTCAGAACTTATTTAATAGTGTTCAAGGTCTTCCCCTGAGTTTAAGATTTAAAGAAGTTTTGAGATATAGCATAAATTAATCAACATGAAAGAAACACTTCCCTGATTGATGTACCATCAGAGTATGACTAGCGATCTAGAAATATTCATCTTAGATTCTAGCTTACTACCAGAGTTTTTATGGACTTAATATACCATCTGAGTCTGGTTGAATTTTCTTCGTTCAAAAGTTTTTATAACTCATGACTTTTGAATCTCCATCTAAGCTTTCGAGTTTGCCTGTTAGGAAAAATTCAGTGAACATTCTCAAAGTTCCCGAGTCAAACAACATTAGTGGCACAAACATTATGTCACTTTCTTCCCATTTACCAAAAATCAAAAAGATTAAAAAGACAAAGAAAAAACATTTCCATTAACCAAAAGACCAAGTTACAAAAAGTTTTAGAAACATTAAAAACATCTTAGTTCTAAAAACAAAGGTAAAATAAAGGTCTAAGGGTTCTGGGTAGGAGGAGGCAAAATCACGGCCATGAAATTCTTCATCATGTTGGAAAGCGAAGTGATAGAAGCATCATGTCGATCAACTTTAGCATCTTGCTTGTCCAAACGAACTTGAATTAACGCATATGTCTTCATTACCTCATCCATAGTCTCCTTTATCCCAGAAGGAGTCTCTTCACCAACAGTAGTCTTCAACAACCCTGAAGTGTTACCAACTTCAACATTATTTTTTCCAGATTCAACCAGCTCGGAGAATAGTCGGAGGAGGTGCTTGAGAAGCAAGTCACACCTTGTACTTTTTCACAAATTTCATATGACAGGAGGATTGGATGATGCTGGAGTTATAATTCATCCATTTCTTTAAGTTTTTCCAGATGTAGTTTACCCATTTCAGATTCATATGGTTGGAAGAGTTCTCAACAACATAACTCAGAGAGTTCTGAGCATCTCTTTCAAACTTTTATTTGAGTTCATCAAAATGTGTGAGGCAATCATTGGACCAATGCATGAGAGGACTAAAAGAAATGGAGTAATGTTTAGAGAGTGTTTCTAGAAGAGGTTTGAGAAGAGAGTTAGAAGCAGAAGGTTGAGAGAGTGTGACTTCAATGGAAGTATCTAAAGAAGTGTCTTCAGATGGCTTTTTATTTGTGGTTGTTGGTTGAGGATCAGAAAAGACAACTTCTTAACCTGATGGACTAATTTGGACTGTTCCAAGTATGGAGACAGAAAAGAGTGTTTGAGATGGTTGTTTGATGGAATAGGGAACGTGATGAACATCATGAACACAAACTTGAGTAAAGAGTTGTCAGAGGCATCCGTACAGAAAGTTGTTATGACTTCTTGGACAACATTCATAGACTTCTTATGATCTCTTCCTTTTGATTAAATTAAGGGTTAAATATGTTTTTGGTCCCTATAAATATTTTAAATTTCATTTTTAGTCCTTATTAAAAAAATAACATATTTTGGTCCCTACAAAATTTTTATTCTTGCATTTTTAGTCCCTGTTATTTTTTAAAATTTTGAAAACTGTTTAATTATCCTTAAGTTTTTAAATTTTTGAATAATTTTTTTCATAAGTGTTTAGAATATAATAAAATATTTATTTACCAAATTTTAGAATTTTTTTTAAATGAGAAGAATTAAGTATGAATTTTTTAAATTTCAAAAGATATTGATAAAAACAATGAAAATTCCGATTTATAAATCAAATTGAGTTTTTTTTTTAAGAACTTTTTATAATGTTCTAAATATGTATGCAAAATAATCATTTAAAAATACACATCAATTTAACAGCAAAGAATAAAATTACGTACATAATAATTTTGTAAGAAGTGAAACATTTCAGTTTTATAAGGATAAAAACAAAATTATTTATAAACCTTTAAATTAATACTAACCTTGCATTTATTGAATAGTTGAATAACCTTTTGAAAAACGTTTAAAATGAATATCAAATTCCAGTAAAATAATTGGCATAATTTGGCCAAAAATCATTCTCCTGTTTTTTTGGGAGAAACGCCTTTCTAGGTTCATCAAGCCATTGACCCACGCAGCACCCTATCGTTATTAGTCTTGTCAACTTTAATTTTTTGTATATATAATGCTAACTATAAACGTTGTATGTTTTCCAAAATCCAAAAAAGGAAAACAAATAATGATCCCTATAATTTATTTTATTAGAAAATGATCCCTATATATATATATATATATATATATATATATATATATATATATATATATATATATATATATATATATATATATATATATATATATATATATATATATATATATATATATATATATATATATATATATATATATATATAGTTCAATTAATTATGTTCAAATTTATATATATATATATATATATATATATATATATATATATATATATATATATATATATATATATATATATATATATATATATATATATATATATATATATATATATATATATATATATATATATATATATATAGTTCAATTAATTAATTAGTAGTTCTAATGGTAACGAAACTACTTTTTTTTTTCAGTATATGCAACCACTTCATATTTCTTACAAACAGACTTTTGTATCATAAAATTAATTAAATTTATACCCTAAATATTTTTGTGGCAGTACACCTCGTTTGATTTTAAAATGGTATCTATCAATATTACTCTTATTTCTGAATATGATAGTTAGTATTTCTGAATATGATAGTTAGACAAAAGTGAGTGATATTTGATACCTCTTTTAGTAGAAGATGCATGCACAACTTAGAACATACCCCCACTATAATTAGGTATACGTATAGCCTAACCTTTAGGGATCATAACAGAAACCCTTACATTCCCCTTCTCCATATCCTGTCTCGGGCTTCAAATTTATGTATTACTAGACTATAAAAAAATTTAGTTTGTTTAGGAATTCTGAGATAAGTGATGGAGTGATACAATGGAGTTCCACCGCATTAGATTAGATGGATCATACTTCTAGTGTGGTAGAAAAGGAATGAATATGCAAGATTATCACCTTAGCATCAAAGTTAATGACAGAGTGCAAAATTGTTTGTAAATCATAATAAATTAAATATTTGAAACGACGTGATTCGATATTTATATAGCATAGACAATAAAAGTCTTTCGCGTGTGATTAGGCATCTTGGGGAGTTACCATTTGATTAAATTCAACCATGTGATGTGATGAAGTGCAATAGAAATAAAGATTCAATTGTGTTAGTGTACAAGGAGAGATGAAAGAAAAATGAATATATTAAATGATGGTTATAGAATAAAAAGTAATTGATATTTTGATCTACCTACTATTAGGCTATTTATACACAATATTAGAGTATAATAAAATACTAAAATACCCTCTAACAGACTTAGTCAACAAGACATTCCTAAAATATAAATTATTTCCAACATCATCCCTTAATTTATATTTACACAAAACTGACAACACCAATTCTATCCTTCAAACAAAGAAATTGATCAGTCTTGATAGCCTTTGTTAGAACGTCCGCCGACTGCTTCTGTGTGCTATAGTGCACAACTTCTAATATTCTACTCTGAACCTGATTCTTCAAAAAGTGATACTTGGTCTCAATATGCTTGCTTCTCCCATGCAGCACTGGATTCTTGACAAGATTGATTGCAGACTTGTTATCAATCATCAACTTCAAAGGCTTGTTTACCTTGATCTTCAGATCCTGCAGCAAGTTCAGAATCCACACAGCTTGGCATGCAGTCAGAGCGCTTGCAACATATTCAGCTTCATAGGTTTACAGCGTAACAACATGTTACTTCTTGGAACACCAAGAAATGGGACCTCCCAGAAATTTGAATAAGTACCCAGAAGTATTTCTTCTATCAACTCTGTCTCCACACCAATAAGAGTCTGAATAACTCAAAATTTCTGATTCGGTCTTTCTTCCAGAAGGAAATAACACTCTATACTTCAGAGTTCCCTTCACATACCTCAGAATCTTGACAACACCTTGGTAATGAGACCACTTTGATTTACTCCTAAATCTTCTAACCATTCCAACTGTATAGAAAATATCCAGTCTGATATTACACAAATACCTCATAGAACAAACCAACTGTTTGAAGGTTCTAGCATCCACATCCTCTCCATCAGAATCAGATTTCATCTTCTCATTCGTATCAGTAGGTGTGATAGCAGTTTTGCAATTCTCCAACTTAAATCTCTTCAGAAGCTCAAGTTCATACTTCATCAGATGAAAAATAATTCCTTTTTCAGAGTACATAAACTCCATTCCTAGAAAGTAACTCATTTTTCTAAGATCTATCATCTCAAACTCATTCATCAGAATATTCTTGAACTTAGATATCCCTTGTTCAGAACTTCTTGTAAGCAATATGTCATAAACATACAAACATACCAGAATCATATTCCCATCTAAAGTGTGTTGAACATAAACACCATACTCCATCTCACATTTCAGAAACCCTTGTTCCTTGAAAAATGAATCAATCATCAGATTCCAGGCTTCGGGCGCTTGCTTTAATCCATACAAGGATTTGTGTAATCTGAACACCATCCAGTCCTGATTGTTTTTCTTAAATCCATGAGGTTGTGATACGTATACCTCTTCTTGTAATGGACCATTTATAAATGCAAATTTTACATCTAAATGCATCAGAGGGAAATTCTTGTTAGCAGCTATTGCAATCACTAGTCTGGTTGTTTCATGTCTCGCTATAGGTGGAAGCACTTCAGAGTAATCTAACCTAGGCTTCTGTAGAAAACCTCTTGCTACTAATATTGTTTTGTGTTTGCCAATTGATCCATCTGGATTTAGCTTCTTCTTGAAAACCCATCTGACGTTGATGGCTTTCTTTCCTTTTAGAAGTTATGTCAGCTTCCAAGTCTTATTTTTCTCTATAGCATCAAGTTCTTCTTTCATGGGCTGCAACCAGACTTGCTGCTTAAGATCCTCTTTCATACTCACGGGTTCAGAGTCTACTAATATTACACACTGAATACCTTCTCCTTCAGAGTCTACTTCAATGTCTTGCAGCATGTCAAACTCTGCAAATCTTCTTGGGATGCTTTTTGACTCTTTGTTGCCTCTGAACTTGAACTTCAGAACCTCGGACACCAGAACTTTCCCCTTCAGAAGATCTTGCTTCACAAATCAGACTTTCTCTAGAACCGTGACTGTATTCAGAGTCTTGAAAATTCCCAGATTCTGAATCACCATCGGAGTCAGAATCAAACATCATTTATCATCAACAACTCAGCCATACAACAATACAACAGTAAAACACCAAGCTTGCAACGTTGGCCATAGGCCTACAACATGATATTGCCTATAATTAACTCCTCATCTAAGGCTTACTTATAAATTACCAAACCTCTACATATTACTATTCTGTAATACTACATCATTATCATCATTAATCCTACTGTTACAAACCAAACAGTAATATATAATCATCTCATCCTCATCATTCTTCACAAAAATCAACATAGCGATTAACGCGAGAATTAACTCTAATCCTAATTTGGATACTAGGATTATCCTTCCTATTCTTCCTTTTGATCCTTAAGAATGAAGTTCATCGCGTTAGCTATTCAACACTTTAAACGACACCTCAAACGGAGTCCGAAAACTCAAGTTACAACCTTTTCAAAATGATTCTGCCAAAAACCAGACAACATGGATCGACGCATAACGTCTTGGGTCGACATTTACTGGGTTTAACACACTGCATAAGTCGATGCATACTCTCTTAATATCGACTCATATAGAGTCTACAACACTGCATGTATCGACACACACTACAAGAAAAATGATAGATTGGGACGGTTATTTTGGCTGATTACGACGGTTAAAACCGTCGCAATTTACAATCTACGACGGTAGAAGTACCGTCGCAGAATCGTGCGTCCCCAGCCTATTTCGCGACGGTTGCAAAAACTGTCACGCACAACAGATAGCGACGGTTATATACCGTCGTGAATTTGACTTTATTTTTTGTTTTTGTTGTTGTTTGCGACGGTTATTCTACCGCCGTAGGTTAGAAATTGTGGCGGTTTTAACCGTCGTAATCTGATTTATAAATTTCAAATAATATTTTTATTTAAATTATTATTTAGTAAAATAATTTTAAATATAATATTATTTTACTATAATATTTTACTATTATATTTAAATTATTATTTACTTTAATATTTTTTTATTTATAGTATTTTTATTTTATTTTCTATCACTTTTCAACATAATAAAGTTAATTACAATAAAAACATTTAATATCAAATAATCATCAATAATATCAAAAAAATGTGATCAAAGGTAAAAAGAAGTGCAAATTTTACCAATAAACAAGAAAAATTCAAATATCATCAAAGGCCAAATTTCATTTTAATATTTACATTGGTTTGCTACAACTTGAGAGAATTACAAAAAATGTTACAATATTCTACAAAATTCATGAAAGTCCTTAGTGTTAAGTGATTTTATGTTAAACTTCCATGCTAGGACCATGATCCTTCCTTGACTACCATTTGGTCCAAGCTACGCATACCTAGCAGCCTGCAAGATTCACACAAAACATATTTTTGTACTCACAAGAACATGTGGCAGGTTTTTGGCATCATAATATGCCTCAGATGGCTTAGTCAATGTCTTTGTGATGACATGTTTTTCCAATTCTACTTGTCCATTTTGCGCTTCTTCTTGTACCTGCATTACAAAACTAACTGTCAATTATGGGCTGGCAGAATAACTCTCACAACAGTTTGCCTAACACAATGATCTCAGACATTTTTCTAATGGAACAAAAGTGTTTCCTTATGTTCCTTAGGAGATCTAGGTAGATCTGTATTCCTGAGAAGTTTAAGGTTAGTTTAATCTTAATGAAAACAAACCCTAACGAAAAGGTTCAGCAATGAATATTTGAAATTCAAACTTCAAAGTGCAACATATAGAAACTGTCTTAGAGAGTCGGAGTACATCAATAACAGCAGCACAAAATATATATGATATACCTACATAGTACATATACATAATCGAAGGGAAAAACATGATGTTAACTTTTATACTCTCTAAATTGATTCCTCAAACAAAAAGATCATTTGTTTTCCATCAATTATTTTTTCTGTATCAAGCAAGTTCAGAATGTTTTGAATCTGAAATGCAGAAACATCATATTTGCAGCTGTAAGAAACAGGCTCGGATAATTCCTTGGTTGTAGTACAATGGTGACTGTTTACCTTTGTAATCAATCCTAATGGACTGACTTTGAATTGATTCTCCATTAGAGAACGTTTGGGTAAGTGTCACTGCCAGGCTCACGCTTACAAGTGGCTCCATAAAGCATGACGGGTAATAACAACATTACCAGTATATCCATTAAAATTGATTGAGTTTATAATCATTTACAACAAAGAGTAATTTCAAATTAAACATAAGAATAAATATCAATTTTTTAATAAATAATGATTTTCAGAATCACGCTGCAGGTCCTTTTAAAAGACACTGACATAACTTAATCTCATAAGTTAGAACATGTTAAAAACAATATATTATCAAACATAAATATAGAATTCAATAGCCAATAAGATTGGAAGTTATTTTATTCTCTCTTCAAATATATTCAGTATAACCTTTATTCGTCATAGTTCTTCATCCTCAGAATCAAGGAAAACTCCAAGGAGACATAAAAATTACATTACATATCAATAAATTATTTACACATGACACACCTCATATGCCAATTAGTTGTGAGTTTGGGTTAAGGACAAACTGATCCCGAGTACCCGAGTTTGATCCCTGGCAATAACATTCTTCAGTCAGGGTTTACTTCCCTCTCTACCAAACTCCAAACTCCGGATTACTATCCCCAGCCCCCTTCCCCAAGATCCGTGGTGTTAAATACCAAAATGCATCAAATTCAAAATAGAAAGAAGCTTAACAAAAAACACAAAAGATGTAGTACTTTTTATAGAAAATAGGATCACAATTCACAAACAATGTACTAACTATGCAAATTACCTTGGCAGTGATCTCCTTGGTTGCAGACTGAGCAACCATCGATAATTTACCAATTCCCTGAAAACACACAACACAGAAACACATCTCAACAAACAATAAACCATTTCCCATAAACAAAAGCAAGATTCAGAGTATAACCTCAGAAACAACAGATAAATAATCACTTTGATTAGACATCTTCTGAGAAGGATTTGGACTAGATCCAAATCCAACATACTTCCCACCCTGCGAGGGAGGAAGCCCCTCCGGTCTCGCTCCATTCATCGCCATCTTCTTCGCGAAAAACCCTTCCTTGTTAGCAGCAGAAGCCTCCAATTGTGTCCTTGTATAAATATCCTCCGTCGACTTCGACCTGGGCGACGGTGCAATCCCTCCTCCACCAAACCCCATAACATCACCAGTAGACTGATTCCTCCGAAAATCACCACCACCGCCGCGAGATCCATAACCATCATCATTATCATTACCCCAATTATCATCCCAACCTCCATTAGAACCAGCAGCAAGAGGCGGCTTCCCCTTACCATTACCATTACCAGATCGAGAATTAGTATTAGCATTCTCCTTAACAACCGGCGGATCCCGCCACGAGCGACCTTCAGCGAGAGCCTGAATCCGATCGCGGTAGATCGAAGCCGCGTTAGAATTATACTTAGTTATAATATCTGTTTCCTTGGGAATTCCGTATTGAGAGAGAAACGAATTGAGATTGCGGTTACCACCGGCTTCCATTTTCTTGATCTGGAGATCAGACCATGAATCCATTGTTACGGATCGGACGAAGGATACTGTAAAAGTAAATTGATATTTTGTTTAAAAATGAATTACTAACATTTTGTGATATCATATATATATATATATATATATATATATATATTATTTGTTAACTTAAAATAATAAAATAAAAGATAAAAAGATAAAACTTCTTTCTTAAAATTAGAAATGTGGATGGAATTAAAATCTTAAATAAATAAAGAAGAAAAATATAAAGGAAATTGTAATTTAATAAATAAAATTATGAAAATCTTAAAATAATATTGATGGGTGTGAAAATTTATTTTGTTGGTAATTTATTTTATTATTATTATTATTATTATTATTATTATTATTATTATTATTATTATTATTATTATTATTATTATTAATAAAAGAGAAAAAGAAGGGGAAATGAAAGAAAAAAAGTGGGAAAGTAAAAGAATAAAAAAAGTAGCGATTATGATTGGCTAATGTAGTTACGACAGTTCACCTAATTGTCGCGGATGTGAAAAGAGGGCGGTTTTTTGGTAACTGTCGCAATTATGTTACTCATAATGCTTGAAAATCTACGACGGTTGAGCCTAACCGTCGTGACAACTGTCGCAATTCATGAATAAGGACGGTTTTGTGGGAACTGTCGCAATTTATGTGTCGTAAATCTCTTTTTTTCTTGTAGTGACATGCCCCTACGTATCGACTCATCCTGAGTCTAAAATTCTGAATGTATCGACGCATGGCTTCTTTGTATCGACTCATCCTGAGTTTAAAAGCCTTCATGTATCTACGCATGACTTTTGCGGTTGACACATATTGTTCTGTCATGGATATTTTCTGCGATTTCACTGTGTTTTCACTACGGGTTCCATACTTTAGGCCCTAAAAAAATCATCTAATCATAGATAATCATCAATTATAATTACCCTATAATTCTACATCATATATACAACATTAGGGCGTCGTTATTCATCCATAATTCAACGATTTCATCATACAACAACATATACATTCAAATCATGAACAAGACAATATTTCTACATCTAATCCCACATACTAATCATCATAAACCCTATTGTAGAGTCAGAACCCCACTCTTACCTTGGATTGAAGATTGCTCTATAACTTTTCCGGTTGAATTTCCGTTCTGCCTCTTTTCCTCCTTTCCAACAACTTTCACGTTCTCTTCTTCCAACCCTTATTTCTTTCTCTCTTACTGCTTCTTCTTTCTTATTATTTCTAACAATAATAAAATAACCCTATAATTCTCAAAATACCTTAATGGGCTTAAGACTACTACACCTCCTTTCCTACTACTTCTATCCTTTAAAACAAGCCCACGTCAAATAATATCATTCTTCTAATATTATTCCACAACTTAATAAAATAATTAAATTCAACTAATCACAACACAACTTCATAAATATTCCAAAAATAATTTAATTAAATAATTAATTAAATTACGGGTGTTACAAGTAAGGTCTGCATTATACTGATACTGCTTATAGAAAGCAGCAGCCAGGTCTTCCCAGTTACGAATATTGGTCCCTTCCAGCTGGTAGAACCACTCTAGTTGAGTCCCGGAGAAACCGTCTTGAAAGAAGTGGACCCATAAGTCCTTGTCTGCAGTGTGAGGCTGAATCTTTCTCACATAAGACCGGAGATGCATCTTGGGACATGAGACCCCATCATATTTAGCAAACACCGGAACCTTGAACTTCTGCGGAATGACAACCCCAAAAACCAAACCCAGCTTTTCAAAATCCAGCCTAGGTACCTTCTAGATTTCCATTACATTCAGACGCTCTTCCAGCTATTTGTATTTTTCATCGGCCGGAGGATAATGCTCCTCATTATAGTCAGTCTCATTATCAGATTCCCTTGGACTGGGGTATTCCTCTCTTGTTTCCCCTTCTTGATTGTCTCCTTCTTTTGATGAAGATGTTAATGCTACAACTTGCCTTAACGGTCCTTTGAACCTCCTTCCTAAATTCACAACACCAGCTGTCTTCCTTGGCTTCTTGGTCTTCTCTTTAAGAATCAGGGATTTCAGTTCCTCTTGCCCCTTGGCCAGAGCCATGATCATTTGTTGAAACTGAGCATTTTGAGTGTGTAGATCCTTCACTGTTTGTTCGAGAGCCATTTCTTTACTGCTGAAATAAACAGCGAAAAAGATGAGAAACCTGCTATGAAACCTGTTTATGCAATGATATGTATGATATGTGTATGCAATGATTTTAAGGATTTTGGGAAATTTAAATTTGTGAACTAAAATGAAACAAAGATTTTATTAGTAGAATCCAAAATACAATTGCCTTTTAGGCGTTCAACTGAAAATTCTAAAAACTAAGAAATCAGGTTTCCCGTGGGAGCTTCCTCTTCGTTCCGAGATAGACATTAATACCTCTTTCCTCGTGAAGTTTCTTCATGAGCTCCAAAACTTTCCTCTCATGGACATATAAATGATCTCTATAGGTATCCCGCTCTTTCTTCAGCTGAATTCAGGATCTCTGTAGTTCTTCAAGATCAGTGGGCATATTAGGATGAAGAACTATATAGGAAACATCCCCTTCAGTAATAAGCTCCACAATAACTGGTAAGATGGCTATATATGGCATCATAAGGTTCTGGGCAAGAGCTCGTATCCATTGGAGATAAGGTTCCATAGGGATGGAATTCTTAGGCCCCAAAGTCTTGGTGTCAAATCTGTTTACCATGCCCCAAGCTCGTATGAACCTCTAACGATACCCTTGAACATCATCCTCATAGTTAAACACAATTCCCTGGACAAGCATCTCGTGAGGACCATCCCTTCGAGAGTAAGCAAATTGTCGCAGATCCAGAGAAGGATTATAGGTTATGCCTCCCCTAATATCGAGTAGTGGGACATTAGGGAAAATCCCCGCAACGGTCAATAATAGAAATGTCTCCCATAGATCAGGAATACCAGAGAATATCCGCGTGAGAAAGTGACATTATCCTTTGCGACCAGCCCAAACCTTCTTCATTCTTCAGTACTGTTTTAGGGAGGTGAGAAATAAACCACCTCGAAAGCAATGGCACACAGCACATAAGAATCCCTCTTTTCTTTGTAGTACGAGTGTGGAAGGTATGTAAGATGTCTCTGAGTAAAGTAGGCACAAGGTTGCGAGAGAGGAAGACCTTGAAAGCATTCACATCTATGAGTAAGTTTGGGTTAGGGAACAGTACTAACCCATAGATTAGAAGGGACAAGACCTCCTCAAAAGCCTGGAAGTCCAAATCATCCCAAAACAGCTGAGCCTTCTCTATTAGGAACTTATCTAGAAAATCCTTAACTCCCCTCCTTGTTTCCCAGTTGGATACAATGTCGGACCATTTCAGGTGCAAAGCTGCTGCAATGATCTCTAGCTTTGGAGCTTCTTCCAAACCGGTGAAAGGCAACTGATCCAAAATAGGTATGCCCAATATCTGAGAGAACTCTTCCATGGTGGGTACCAACTGATAGTCTGGAAATGTGAAGCAATGGTGCTTAGCGTCAAAGAATTGAAAGAGTACATTCATCATCTTCTTATCAAAACCTGAGGTAACCAGATTGAGAAGTCGACCGTAGTTCTTGGTGAATGAAGAAGTCTCAAAAACCCTTGATACTAGCTCTTTGAGTTGAAGAAGTATTCTCACAAAGCTGATTCAAATGGTATTTCTATGAGCGGAAGCCATGATCTGTAAAACAGAACAAAGATAAATTCCCCTAATCCTTGAAATGGTTAGTGTAATGAAGAATGAATGTTTATGATGCATGATGTCATGTTTAAGCAAATTAATCACACACAAGAAAAGCACACAATATACCTTAGGTTCAAAGGCTTGCATGAGGTTTAAGGTAAGTACCCTCTCGAAGTTTAGTTGGTTTCAAACTTGTCCAAGAAATAATAAACCGGGTTCTAAGGAGTCTCAATATCACTGATCTTTCTTTATCGGTATTATCTCAGCTTAGCAATCTTTTCTTGCGGCTGAAACATCCCGAAAGTCCGATCTCAATGAGCTTAGTATCGAGTATCAACTGATTCCCAGCTTTACACTGAGACCGACTATCTCACTACTTTCTAATGGCCAAGTTTGTTCAACTAAGGTTCTAAGGTTCGTTAGTGCTTCACGACACCACACGGAGGCCCTGTATTCTCCTTGATTCGACACAAGGGATACCGGTACCAACCAAAATGTCACACTAACACAGCTATCGCTTTAACCATATCGGTCTATGTCGTACAGTCTCCACGATCTATTGTTGTTTACCTAAAAAGTGTCCCAGATCCGGGTATAGGATCTTTACAAGAATACCTCAATAAACCCTCAAAGATAAAGCAGTCAAGGCAAACAAATAAAGCAATTTTAAAATGATCTAGACCTAAGGCAAACCCCACTTTATAATTGTCCCCAGAAGAGTCATCAGTTCTGTGATATGGTGGAAGAACTAACTATTATACTGGTTTGTGTTTTGTATTCGCAAATGTTGCGGTAAGCAAGAGTCGCCACCGACTTTCCTTTTATCCAAAATAGGAAAGGGTAAAAATAACAGAAAAAGACATTTTTCGAGATTTTTTGAGTAAGGGGATAGATTATGGAAAGGGAAGGTGTTAGCACCCTTTCCATCTGTGGTTTTCCACGGGCTCTTAGGTACTTGCTCATTTTTAAAAATTACTTTCGTGTTTGTGTGTTTTGAAAAGTTTTTGTTTGCTTTATGATAACTCTTGTGTCAGTCCTCAAGAGTGTGATAAAGCATTTTTTAAAGTAGTTTTGAAAGTGTGGTGTGAAAATGAATTTAGATTTGAGTAAGTACTTAACAGCTATCTACCTACTCGAAAAAGGCGTTTTTTTCCTCCTTTCCTTTAGATAGTGTTATCCTACTATTAGTGAGTAGGTAGCCCTATCATTGGATGTTGAGGGACTATTGTAAGGGACGTTTATGCTCATTGAAGGTAACATGTAGAGATACCTTAGCAGTTTGAAGGGACTGTCATCATATATTTGTAGGC